CCTCTGATACAGAGGAAGCAGTGTGGGGTAGCAGCAGCCGCAGTCTGCAGGGGTCTGGTCTCCCCATGGACAGAGGCTGGACTGCAGCAGCAGCCCTTGTCTGGGGTGTCTGAGCTCCCCGTGGACAGGGGCTGCTGCCACAGACCAACTTCTGCCCATGACTGGCTCAGGGTTACCAGTTCCTGCTCCTCTCCCCACCCCCTTGCTGCCTCTGGCACAGAGGCAGCAAAGATGGGGCGGGAGGGGGGGAGTAATTGACAAGATTAACCAATACGTTTAGGCTTATCAGTTAATCGTGTAGGCGACTACATGTTGACGTCTCTAACGAGCAGGTAGCAGGGCAGTAACCTGGCCCTGCCAGGAGAAGGAGCCATTTAGAAGACATCACCTTGTATCTTTAAATGCTTTGGAGAAAGAGAACATGCCCCTTACCATGGCTTGTTGCCTGTGTCTGTGAAAACCCCCACCTGGCTGGAAGCTGTGCTGAACTCAGCCTGATCATGGCAAGTGGAAGCGTAAGCTTTGAGTAACATGTTTGCAAGCAGAGTTATAGAAACCAGGGCAGCAAACCAGAGTGGGTGGGGCTGGTTGTGGCTGAGGCAGCTGTGGGCAGAACCCCTCCCAGCCTTTCCCAGGCAATAGACTCTTCTGGCAGTAAAGCGTGCCTCACAGAGGTGCAGCAGGAAGTGGTTCTGAGGTGCGATACAGATGCAGCGACAGCACTCGGAGGCTCCGCTGTGAAATCTGCTACCTTGAGAAGAACTCCCGGGTTCCACAAACATCAGTGCATATTGGAAAGGGAGCCGCCACTTGATTTACATGAAAAAGACTTTTATTTTTTGTTTCTTTCAGCAATTTATGACCAGCATAGGTGCACTGTTTTAAAATTTAAAAAAGTTTTTTTAAAAAAACTACTTAATTGTTTCGTACTTAATTTACCTCCGCTGACACGCGCTCCCTGAGCCCAGGCGGTTGCACCGCTGCCAGGGGAGATGAGGATCTGCAAATATCAAAGTCGTCTTTGGTCTAAACTCAACGCCATACAGAGAAAGCAGCAAGCAGAATTGGAACGAGAGCAAGAGGCTGACGGTGCTGCACGGGGCCTTTTCCCCGCAGGCTCCCTCACTTGATCTTGAGATCCTTCAGCGCGGACTCCAGGCTCTGCGAGGGAAACAGCAAAGATTTCCAACAAATCCTTTTCGCTGGGTGTAGGAGAGGAGCGAGGAGGAATAAATGGTCTAGGCAGCCCAGCCCTTGCAAATGAGACGACTGACTCACTCGGCTAAACGGCAGAGAGCAAGCACAGCCCATGGAATCATGCCTGCTTCCACATCAGACCCCTGGGCTCTCAATCAGTCATCGCTCCAGTGCTCGGCCCCTCCTGGGCCATCTCTGTAGGCCTTGAAGAGTCGTACTGCTCTTCTGTATTAGCAGAATGAGTCTTACAACACTGCCTGGTAATGTGGACACAGGCGGACCGCTCTAACTTACTCTGCATGGGGACGTAGGATGTTTAATAGCGGTTAATTGAACAGTCGGTTCATCTCATGAATTCCTGTCGGTTACTCAACTATTCTATAGTCCCTGGGGGTGGGGCTGGAGGCGCCCCCTGCCACTCCGCACATTGCCTCTGATACAGACACAGCAGCGCGGGGTGCCGAGTGGGAGCTGGTCCATGAGGGGAGTCAGTTTAAAGCCCAGCTCCCCTCGCAGACCGGCTGCCTGTCGTCCTGTGCTGCTGCCTCTGCTCTAAAGGCAGCAGTGGCAGCAGCCCCTCTCGAGTGGGGGTCTGAGCTCCCGGATCTGGTGTGAGCCAGAACTGAGCCGAGCTGCCTGCCCACCCAGCTCCTAATGCACTTGAAGTGCAGAGCCACAGCAGGGGTAGGTCCCGGACCCGTCGCAAGCCAGAACTGAGCCGGGCTGCTGGCCAGCTTGCTAAAAATTTACGAGCAAGGGTTTGGGGAAATGCATGTTGTCTATAGCATTAATCTCTAAGCTTTTGGTTATTGGTCGAGCTTGCTAAAAATTTACGAGCAAGGGTTTGGGGAAATGCATGTTGTCTATAGCATTAATCTCTAAGCTTTTGGTTATTGGTCGATCAGTTAATTGACTACACTGTTACATCTCTATGGGGACTAAGATACATTTCTATAGAACCTATTTCTACCAGTAAGGGTGTGATTTAGTGTAGACATGCAAAGCTGGTTGCAGACCATGGCCTGTTTGTTTTATGCTGGGGAGGCATCCTCCCCTCCCCCCTACTCCTGCGCGCGCGCGCACACACACTCTCTCTCTCTCTCTCTCTCTCTCTCTTTTTTGGCACCTAGGGTACCTCTAGACTACAGGCTTTTGTCGATAGAAGTTTTGTTGACAGATACTGTCGACAAAGAGCAACTAGACTACATCCAGTTCCAGCAAGTCGCTTTGTCGACATGGAAGTGTAGACACAAAGGACAGTGTAGATGCAATAACACCTTCTATCGACAGAACTCTGTCGACAAAAGGCATTATTCCTCGTAGAATGAGATTTACAGCCGTCAACAAAATTGCTGCGTTCTGTCGACGTTATGTCGACAGAACTTAGCGGCAGTGTAGACGCAGGTATAGTTTTGGCAACAAAAGTCCACTTTTGTTGACAAAACCCTGTAGTCTAGACACACCCTTAGATTTACAGCTCTCCATTGTTCCAAAGGGCTGTACAAGTCAACTGTCCATCAGAGCCAGTTGGGTGTGTTCATTTCTTTTGCAGGCTCCTCTGATCATAGGGGCTAGCGTCATGTTCTAAATGTCATTGTGCTCATGCTGAATTTTAAAAATCCCTTTCCAGGAATGCTGCCCACCGGACTGGAGAAATATTTGGGTAGGTCAAATCACTGACAGAGCGTCCCTGCCAGATGGAACTAGGTGTGACGGGATGGGTGGAATCACACAAGGAGAGAGCTGTAGGTGAGGCGGCAGTCCTTCTAATGCATGTTTGATCCCATTCCAAGCCTGTCTCGGCTGGAGGGCGGTAGCATTTCTTACACAAGGACTATTAATCATTTGTGCTCATGTGAGAGTGGCCCAGAGCATCGGTGTGAAACGCTCCAGCTGGCACTCTGAATATATGTCAACAGAAGGAAAGGGGAGCAGTGTTCTGGCCTGTGACGGCGAATCTCTGCCAATCGCAGCAGAGAATGGCACATTCGTAGGAACAACAATTAGTAGCTCTCTGCCTGCACCACCAAGCAGGAGCTTCCAGCATGGCTGTGGGGAACGGGGCAGTGGCTTTGTGTGTTACGGAAACGTCTGTGCGCTGGGTATCAGGACTCGCCTGCAAGCAGCCTTGTGGTGCTGATCCGAATCTCCCAGCATTTGGGTGCCGCAGAACTGCAAATCACTGGGTGCTGGGGACCAGGGTTTCCTGTAAGCTCTGTGGCTGCTCAGGAGCAATTCTAATGCCACCCCAGCTGATTCACAAAGCACCCACAGGTTTTGTTTCTATGGGTGGTGCACATTGGCACATGCCTCAGTGCACGTAAATTATTCCTCACGTGGTCGGGGAAAATCCACACATGGATGGAAAAGCTTATAGGGAATATTGTTGGGGACATGCGCTGACATGAAATGGAAGCTTTTTGTTGCACAGAATGTTCCTCGAGCACCTTCAGAGTAAAACCAGCTTCCTTCTTCCTGTCTAGCCCTGTCCTGCCTAGTAGACTGAATGTTGATAACCAGCATCCAAATGCTCCCAACGTGTAATGAAAGCGCAACCAAGCCAGAGATGCAAGGTCACTGGCTGCCCATTACCTTTCTAACAGCCAAATTTGGTGGTCCCAAATTTGAAATGGCTGTGAAGGCCTCCCCTGCTGTTTGGGTCTTTCGTGATGATAGCTCAAAACCAACCCTGCTAAATAAAAATGCTGCTTGTTCTTTAAGGGCTGCTCAGAGTTGGCTTTGGAGTGCCAAAGCCCGTAAGGACAGCCACACTGGGGTTAGACCAAAAGTCCCTCTAGCCTGGTATCCTGTCTTCAGACAGTGGCCGATGCAAGGTGCCCCAGAGGGAATGAACAGGTGATCGTCAAGTGATTAATCCCCTGTCGTCCATTACCAGGTTCTGACAAACAGAAGCTAGAGACACCATCCCTGCCCATCCTGGTTAACAGTCATTGATGGACCTATCCTCATGAATTTATCTGGTTCTTTTTGGAACCTTGTTGAAGTCCTGACCTTCAAAACATCCTCTGGCAAGGAGTTCCACAGGTTGACCAGGCGCTGCCTGAAGAAATACTTCCTTTTGTTTGTTTTAAACCTTCTACCTATTCATTTCATTGGTGACTCCCCTAGCCTGGTGCTTTTGAGAATCCCAATGGGACTGCAGAAGTGCCACTCCCCTGAGCCAGCAATAGCTTGTGCAGAAGGGTTGTGGGGCCACGTTCTCCTTTGCAGCTGTGGAAAGCCAGCTCGCCGCAATGCGGCAGTGACACGGCTGGAGCTGCCAGCAGGACCTGGCCCTCAGGTTGTGATCGGAGGTGACCCCGGAAGATCCGAAGCTCGCAAACACCTCTCCCGTGGCTCGCTGCGCAGGCTACTTACCTTGATATCCCAGATGCTCATCCCCCCGTCCATTCCTGTGGTGCAGAACTGGGAGCACTTGGCTTTGCCACCGGCGATCACGGAAATCTGGCTGGAGAGGGCAGACGTGGGACAGTCAGTCTGGCATTTGGCTGCCCTGGCCTCAGCATCTGACAGAGGCTTTCTAAGCCAGCATGTTGGCCTTGGAGTTCATTAAGCTTTGGGGTTATTTTACCACCAACCACCTTCCCATGTCTGTCTTTGGAAGGCTGGATCCAACCGGAGAGCATTGCCAAAGTTTGTCTCATTCAACCCAACTCACCACCTTCAGCTGTGAAAGCCACCAGCAGGGGCTTTCCCAGCTAACAAGGCTGCATGGAGCAGGTACCTCTGGCAAGCAGAGGCAGGCTCTCCCTGCAGAAAGGCCAGGGAGATGCTCCTGGCCAGTGTTCCCTGTAAGCTGAGCTCTTGGGCGGCTACCCAGGAGAGATTCAAATGCCGCCCAGCTGATTAGCAGAGCGCCCTCAGCTGCCCAAGCTAGCAGCAAGTGTTTCTACTGGTGGTGCACATCTGCACATGCCTCGGCGCACGTAACAAAATTTATTCTGCACACGGATGGGAAAAAAATAGAGGGAACATTGCTCCTAGCCCTTTGGGCTCCTGCAGTACAAGCCTCCTGTTTCAGCAAGTCCCAGACTTATATGGTCTGACTGGAAGCTGAACACCCTCAAAATGAGGAGGCGACTCTGGGATTTGGGTTTGGCTGGATTTAGCTCTTCCCCAAGCCTGTCTCTAGGACTCGTGTGCGGCGAGGTCCCTCCCGGTGCCCCACCCAGCACTTGCCTGATGCTGTTCTTGTGCAGCGTTTCCAGGGTGAAGTTGTTGGTCTCGGAGCTGGCCTTCTTATCCAGGTTCTGGAAGCGCTCGCGAGCAGTCAGGCCCCGCTGGGAGCTCTGCTTGGGGACATCGTTAGCTCTTCCCCAAGCCTGTCTCTAGGACTCGTGTGCGGCGAGGTCCCTCCCGGTGCCCCACCCAGCACTTGCCTGATGCTGTTCTTGTGCAGCGTTTCCAGGGTGAAGTTGTTGGTCTCGGAGCTGGCCTTCTTATCCAGGTTCTGGAAGCGCTCGCGAGCAGTCAGGCCCCGCTGGGAGCTCTGCTTGGGGACATCGAGCTTCCCGCCGAAGGTCAGCGAGCCCTGGCTCTCGTCGTAGGTGAAGAGCATCGGGTAGCAGTCATGGCCCTGTGGAAACAGCGACAGCGAGCGCTGAGCAAAGCTGCCAGGCACCAGAGCAGCCTCTCAGCGTCCCGGCGCGAGCCGCAGACTTACCGCTGCCACCCGG